AATGCTATATGTATACCAAATCTTATTTTACTTTTTTCTCTTTCAAGACACAAAGGAAGATCATATATCCCACTGTTCCTTTAACTTATGGCTGGACTTAGCCAAACTCGGTGTTGGTAGTAGTGATATAAGCCACCCACTGGGAGTTTTTACAAACACCTTGCATGATACGCCAGTTTTCTATTCCCTGCTACAGCAACCCTGGAAGCCACATCAGCCTTCCAAGATGAGGAACCTCCTTCAGCCTAGTCCCTGAAAGATCACAGGAAGCAGAGCTCCCCCGCACACCGCCCTGCCCCCCGCCCCACCGTCCATGCTGGAGCTGGAGCTCGAGCAAGAAATATATGTTTACTGCATCTAGACACTGAGATGTAGAGGTTCATTGTTACCATAGCATAATCTCACCCACCCTGATGAATTTATAAAGTTACATCAAACAGTTGCAGCTGCTTCTTCCCAGCACAATGGGTTTTCATACCCCAGAAGACTTGGGGTTTAAAATGCCTACGTGCCAGGTTAACTGCCCATGTCCTGGGATGAAGAGGTTCCTCCAGTTAAGTCCTTTAACTTCCTAAGAACCATGGATTCTTTTTAAGCTACTGAAAACAAACCATATGTTAAAAAACCGATAATACATTTCCTCTTCCTTCTCCAGCTAGATCTCAGCGGGAAGTCTCGTCACTGTTTTCCCACATGCCACACTCATTCATTCCATCGCACCCTGACTCATCAGTTTCCTTCTGTCTTGACAGTCTGTCCAGTTCACGGCCCAGCCACCGCAAAATGTAAAGTCTGCTTAAAATATTACCATTTCCCTTTTCAAGAATTTTATTGCGGTTATAACTAACACTGGCACTTAATTATATAGGACTTCATTTGGGGGAACCTTAGTTTTTTCACTCCGGTGAGATTACGGGCAGGGGATTTCTTTCAGATCCCCACGGGGCCTGATGTAGTATTAGGCTTAAGATAGATTGCCTATAAATATTTACTGAATTAAGTTTCTAGGCAATGCATTTAAACTCAGGCTTGCCACATTTCGGAACAGGTCTGTAGGTAAAGAAAGGTGGCTGGAGACATTACTGCGCTCTGGCCTGGATGAATTAGTGCACTTTTCTCCACACTCATTAGGAAGCTGGATATGAATGTTGTAGGTTAGGGAGCTGGGAAGGGGTGAGATAGTTGGGGAGTTGATGCAACATTTATTTCTACTTCCTTATATATTGCTTAATAAATACAGTTGAGTTTGTTTCATAAGCTTGGTATATGTCCTGCCTCTACAGGTAAGCCATACAGTTCTCCAAAGACTGGGACCATGTTTTCTATAGATAGTTCCTTTATTTCAAAGGAGACCCATTGATAAGAAAGACCTTGTATTTATGTAATTATTTAAAATAATTACACAATTTTGTATAATTAAATTATACAACTTAAGATACTTTCTAATTTATTGTCTCATTTGCTCTTTACATTAACCAAGGCTCCAAATACTTGGTTTAGGATTCACTCCATTACCAAGTTCAGAAAGAGGCTGGAAAATATCTCTTGGGGTTCTTTTGTATTTCTATGTACCCAGCAATCAATTCCCTTACCTGAAAGCCCTGGGCATACCTCACTGCCCGCTGCTAAGAGCTGGCACCTTGTAAGTGCTACTAATCTTGGCCGGTGTTGTTTATAGGAGGAGAGGTGGCTTCCTGTGTGCTCAGCCACAGTGACTAGGCAAATGCAGTTATTTACCCTCTCAAACTACACCTTGGGACAAGAAGAACATGTTCACTAAGAACCCCTTACCCAGGACATCACTTAAACCCCCAGACAGCAGAATTAAAGGCTTCATCCTTGCTCTAGTTGGTCTGAGCTGGGACTCCGGCCATGAAACCAACCCAATTACCCAGCTTACCAGGAAGCCATCAAGTACTGCTGAGAGGTGGAGTGGAGGAAGCTTGGAGGTAATTCAGCTTTCCTGGGCTCAGAAAGTCAGAACCAAACTGGTCTTGGGGGAGCAGAAGAAGGAGGGGCACTTCTCCTTACCAGAGCCCCCTTATTCCTTGGGTTCTGTGAGGAAGACCCAGGCTGCTTTCCGTCTGTCTTCTCCAACCAGTTCTTCCCCTCCTTCTACCCCAGTGGAAGGGCCTTCTTAGGGTGACCAACCACCTCTGTCTGCCTGAGACTGAGGAGGTTCCTAAGCCAGACGTTTAGTCTTTAAACCAGGAAAAGTCCTGTGCAAACCAGGACTAGTCAGTCACCCCACGCCTTCTGTAGTGCTCTGTGCCCATGTCTCATTTCTCACTTCGTGCTCTCCCCAGGGATTTCATCAGACGTTGATGAATAATCCCCCACCAGATCCCCACCTCTGGTTCCCCCTGAGCATGAGACCAGCACTTCAACCACCAGCCTGATAGTGCCGTTGGCACATCTAACCTTAAACCCCACGGGCTCTAAACTGGTTCATCCCCTCGCTCCTCTAGTCCACTCACCCTGGCCCCACTCATCTCTCAGTGTTTCTGTTTTCCTGTCAATGCCACATCACTGCCCCAGTTCTTCGAGATTTATCTGCTCATATTCACTGAGTACCTGCATCGTGTCAGATTCTGTCCTAGGTTCTGGGGAGTCAGCAGTGAACAACAGGCACTGCCTTCATGGGGCTTGCATTCTAGTCCAGGAAGACAGAAACGAAATATATACATAGTGGACCACAGGTTAAAAATGACAGAAGAAAAACTAAAAAGGTGTAAGGAGTGCTAGGATGGGGGTTGCAGTGATGGAAGGGTCAAGCGGAAGGCTCAAGGAAGCCTTTCTAATGGGAAGCCACCTGAGCAGAGACCTGCAGGAAGTGAAGGGACGAAGCAGGGGGCTGTCGGGAGTAAGCATCCCACGCAGAGGGCACAGTGAGTGCAAAGGCTTTGCAGCTGGGCAGACTGGGCAAGAGCAAGGGCTGTGAGAATAAGTCAGGGACAGAGCAGGGGATCAGGATGTGTAGGGCTTTGTAGATGAAAACATTCTGACTCCTTTACCCTCTGCTCTATTGCCAAGCCATGATAATCCCACCGCCCCAGGGTCTCTCCATTTCTGTGGCTACCACCTTGTGAAAATCCTTATTATTTCTCATTTGAATTATTATATTGGCCTCCTAACTAGTCTTTTTTCCTCTTGTCTCTCCCTACTCTAATCCTACTCATGACTGCTATAATCTTCTTGGAGCACAGTTCCAATTGGCAACCTCCTAAAATCATTAGCATACATTTATGTAGCTCTGAATAAACATGTACTTAGGAGGAGGGGGATAGACACAGGGGATGTGTTCTCACAACTTGCCAGCAGCATGTTCTTGTCAGAAATAGACAGAACTGTCAAAAATATGTTATCAAACATGTCAGACTTCTGTTTTTATGCTACAATATAAAAATTGCAAATTTTTCATCAAAAAAATAAATAGATGAATTAGTCAGAACCCCTTTGCCTGCCATTAACAAGAAATCCAGTTCAAGCTGTCTTTGAAAAGGTCATGTATTAGCTTATATAATTTAAAACTCTGCACCTTCAGGAATGGCTAGTCCCAGCTACTCAGCAAAAGCAATGAGAATCTATGTGACTCATCTGCATCATCTTTCAGATCTGCTTTTTCTCTGTTGCCTTTACTCACAGGCAGAATCTGCCTATGCAGTGGCAAAAATTGCTTTGTTTCACATCTTCTCAGTTTAGCAACTCCAGGGGAAAAAGAGTGCCTTTTTCAGCAAAAGACCCAATGCTGATTCTCACTGACCCTCCATGGACAGAGAGCTTGCCCTTCAATCAATCGCTACGACTGTGGCCAGCCAGGCCTGGGTCACAGAGTCGGGGTGGGGAAGTGTGAAGCCATGCCCACCTGAACTAAATGGAAAGAGATGTAAAAATAGGTGGTTCCCAAAGGACCATTGGTATTTGAGGATGGGGGAGGGGGAGGAGGCAGGCAAAAACAAGTGTCCACAACAAAAAGCTAGAAGTACCATTTTTGCTGAGTCCTAACCCCAAATGCCTAAGTAATCAATAGGTCTCCAACTTAAAAAATTTTTTGAGTCCTGTTGTGCCCATATTTGATTATTTCATGAAGCTTCTGCTCCAACATCTTAAATGGCTCTTCAAGAAGACTACTCCCCATCACCAGTCAGCAGTCTTCCTTCACGAGTCTACTTCACTTGCTTGACAACAGGGCCCACAGATGAAAAATGCCTTTATCTCTAGGAGCAGGCTTTCAGTACACTGTGGCTGTTGTTATTGGCAGCTGTGGTCACGTGCACAAGCAGTAGTGTTGGCCCCTGAAATATCACAAGTAGGTACACAGTGAGACTGGGGTGGAAAGGAAGAGCCTCTTGTGTAGACTGAGAATGATCCCCCACCCTGCGGACATGAAGGGAGGTTCGTTGATAACAGGAGTTCGAGAACGACTGGGAGAGGCGCTGTTACTCTTCCCTGCGCTGTGTGCAATCAGTCTCATCTAACACACAACCACCTTATGAAGTAGTGACCTGGGGAGGACTATCCTCATTTCACACATGGGAAAGCTGAGGCCCGGAGATGTTGACTACGTCTGCCACAGCTAACAAATGGAGGACCAGAGATTTGAGCCCAGGGCTCTCTAATGCTAAGCATGGGTGTAAACTCAAACACTGTTCAGTTCCTATGCGGGGGAGGGAAATGGCTCCTCACCTAAATCCATCCACAGCTCTCAAAACGCTGCAAACTCGCCAGCGTGCACCACAGCCTCCCAAGCAAGCATGTGGCCAGCCTTCACCTCATCGTACTTCTTTAAGGGGCAGAAAAACGGGGCAGACCCAGGACCGGTGGCTTGAAGAGGTTCACTCAGAAAGGTAGAGGAAGTGGTGGTGCCTGGGCCCCCTGTCGCCCTCTCACCTCAGAGATCCTTCCACCGGATAGATGCCGCCCACCTCCGAAAACCGTGATGTGGTTGGAACGGTGTCCGTGTAAAAATAGCCAGGCCCTTCTTACCCCACACTGCTCTGCAGCTCTGTCCAAAGCCTGTCTGCTGCCCTGGTTGACTCGGTCCTGGAGCTGCTTCCACCCACCTCTGGCACTGATGGGGGCAGCTCGGCCTGCCGTCCTCAGGCTCCCTCCACACCTGGGGAACAGAGTTGACTGGCCCTCAGATCTCATGTTGAGTGCAGAGCGTGTGGCCCCGCCTGGGCCCCTCAGCAGAGAACTTTCAACTCCGAGTTGCCTCCAGCTCACAGGCCCCTCCTCTGACCTGAGCTCCGACTGACCCCTGGTGGACTTGGGTGATCCCTCAGAGCCCACAGCATGAGGGTGCCTTGGGAGGACCAGGTAGGCCTGAAGGTCGGTCTCAGCAGAGACGTCCAGGTGAGCAACATGGGGGGCTAGAGTATCCTCAGCAGGTGGCCAAGTGAAGCATCTGGCGGAGGATGTGGGTACAAGTGTGGTGCGCGTTTGAAGGGAGTGGGGTGGTCTGGTGCTCTGCCAGGCCATAAGACTTCTGCAAACAGCAGGAAGCTAGTGGGCTGGACCCCCTGAGGGATGGGCAAGGCAAGGACCTAATGCCGCTGGCTTTAAACACACACCCTCTCTGGGCTGGAGCTTGGGGACTGGGGGAGGAGGCCAAGTTGGGAACCGTGCCCTAGGAGTTAGGTCTCCAGGCAACTGAAGCAGGTCCAAGAGCAGCCCCTGGCTAAGGGTGCCAGGGTGGAGCTGCGTTAGTGATGTGGGAGCAAGGGCCTGCCTTGCCCAGTCAGATCTGGAATCCAGAGCCTTGGACTTTAATGGCAATGTAGGACACATGAGACAAGATCTTGAGCCAAGGAAGAGAAATATTCAGTATATTTTGTCTAGCATATTCAGATTTTGTAGTGAGAAAATATTTCAGAATGAAATATTTCAGAATGAAATATTTTTCATTCTACCGTGTTGATAGAAAAAGAAGTCAAAAAAGACTTTTGCAAAAAATGTTTAAATGTATTTTAACTTTTCATTATGGGATACTTTAATCCACTTCTATCACCTGGATTATTTTGAAGCACAACCCAAACATTAAATCATTTTACCTATAAATATTCCAGTAAACTTCTCTAAATTTTAGAACAGTAATTCTCAAGCCAGGGCAATTCTCCCCCATCTCCCAGAGGACATTTGGCCATATCTGGAGACATTATTGTCTTGGGGCGGGGGGAGGGCGCTGTTATTGGCATCTAGTGGCTACAGTCCAGCGGTGCTGCTGAACATCCTCCCTTGCCCAAGAAGTGCACCTGACAACAAAGAATGGTTTGACCCAAAAATACCAACAGTGCTAAGGTTGAAAAACCATACTTTAGAGTCTAAAGATAAGAGCACTTTAAATAAATAACTACAATATTATTAGCATACAAAACATTAACAATAATTCCATGATATCAAGTAACCAATTAAAATTAAAATTTCCCTGATTGTCTCTAAATTTTTTTAATGTTTTTGTTTAAATCAAGATCCAAATAAGGTTCATACATTTCAATTGGTTAACATATTTCTTAGGTCTTTTTTAATCTACAGGTTCTCATCTCTCTTTTTTTCTTGTAATTTATTTATTATAAAATAAATTTATTGTTAGTTACAAAAGAATACATAAATACATTCTCTATATCAGAATTGAAACATTACAGGTAAAGCTAGAATTTCCCTGCCACTGATACTCCAATCCTAGTCCTCCCCAAGAAGAGTAATTAATTTATCCAATTTCTATGTCTCTCAGTTAAGATTATGTTCAGGTATGTATTTCAAAAGACAAACAAACAAAATGATAAGAACAATGAAAGCTTCAAGTTGACTTATTTTTCAGGAAAACAAGTCCAAAGGTAGACAGTCCAAGGCTAGTGTGGCAGCTCCGGGAAGGTTTTAGGGTCCCTCATCCTCACGGACCAAAACAGCTAACGGAGGATCAGCCCTCTTCCCTGCACTGCGGGCAGAGGATGGAAGAGAGGTGAAGAAGAGCATCTCCCACTGTGTGAGTTCACTAGTGCTGCCGTAACCAAGCACCACAAACTGAGTGACTTACACCACAGAAATGTATCGTCTCATCATTCTGGAAGATAAAAGACTGAAACCAAGGTGTCAGCAGGAGCGGTTCCTTCTGAGGACTGAGGACAGACCCGTTCCTTGTCCCTCTCTTTCCTCCTGGTAGTTTGTGGCAATCTTTGATATTCCTTACCTTGTAGCAGCATCACTGCATCCTCTGCCTTGATCTTCACATGACTCTCCCCCCACCCCGCCCCGTGTGTGTCTGTTCAAATTTTTCCTAATTATAAGGACACCATTCATACTGTATTATGGCCCACACTAATGGCCTCATCTTAACTAATTGCATCTGCAAGGACCCTATTCCAAATAAGGCCATACTCTGAGACAGTGTCTGAGATTAGGGCTTCCACATATGAATTTTGGGGAGACTCAGTTGAACTCCTAACACTCTCCCATAGGAAGATTTTAGAGAAGTCTCTTACACCTCTTTTCTTATACTCCGGAACCTGGCCAGAACTTAGTCTCATGGCCACACCTCGCTGCAAAAGATGTTCGGGAAGTTGGGCTTTAGCTGAGTACATGGCCATTCTCCCAAAAAAGTCAGTTTCCTGTTATAGAAAAAAAAATGGAAAATGAATGTCAAGGCAACAACTAGCAACCTGTCATAGAATGTGTCCTACTAGACATTTTTCTCTGTGTTGCAAACACATCTATGTACCTTCCCGTAGACATGCCTAAATTTTGGATTCTTCATCCAGGCAGCTTTGCCCACTAGGAATCAGGCAGTGCCCAGGGTTTCCTGTTTTTATCTGTAATCCCCAGAACACTCTGTAAACACAGGCAGCCTTAGTTTATGCCTCAGGGACCCTTATTTGCAAAAGGTCCTTTCAAGACACCATTCCTAATTTTAGATTTTAAACTTTGCATTCTTTTCCTTTAAAAGGTCTGTAAAATTACGCAAGCCTCAGATCCTGGATCTGTCCCTGCCTACGAGATAGACATTAGTATCCTCATTTTATAAATGAGGAAACTTGAAGCACAGAGAGGGCAAGTAGTTTGTCTGAAGTTATGGAGGCTGTAGTGGGGTTCAGTTCAAACCAACTGTCTAGTTCCAAAATTCAGGCTCTTTCCTTGTGCCTTGCCCACCAATGGATGACAAAAGCACCCCAGGATGCTTTCTGCAGTGTGGGTCCTTGGCCACAGTCCCATGTGGCTGTTTGGATTCCCCAAGAGTTGGGGTCCATCCTCAGGGAGCACACGGTGTTAGTTTCCTAGAGCTTCCGTAACAAATTCCCACAAACAAAGTGGCTTTAAAACAACAGAAATGTATTCTCTCGCAGTTCTGGAGGCCAGAGTCTGAACTCAAGGTGTCCCCAGGGCCACACTCCCTCCAAAGGCTCTGGTGGATAATCTTTCCTATCTCTTTCAGCTTCCGGTGGCCCAGGAGTCCCTTGGCTTGTGTCTGCATCTCTCTGCTTCTGTCTTCACAAGGACTTCTCCTCTGTGTCTGTATTATCTCCTCTTTTCTCTCATTAATACTTCGCATTGGATTTGGGGCCCAACAGTCTAAGCCAGGATGAGCTCATCTCAAGAGCCTTCATTTAATTACATCTACATAGATCCCTTTTCCAAGTAAGGTCACATGCACAGGTTTGGCGAGGGGCTGCCACTCAACCCACTACATACGGCATCCCAGAGTATCAGGTACCATCTCCAGGACCTGGGTAGGAGGTAGGAAAATATAGCCACACACACTCTTTCTGGTCCATTTTAATTGCTGATGGCAAAAGGGACTGTGGCGAAACTGTGGGGACAGTGCTACTTACTTTGGGAAAGCATAAGTGACTCAATGGCCCACGGCCTGCTTAAAGTTGAAGAAATTCTGAAAGTTTGGGCAAGGATGGGCATGCAAGAACCAAGCTTTTGTAGTAAAATGGTAAACTATGTTGGCATATTTTCCAGTGTTTACTCTCCCTTTTAGAGACATTCCCTGTGAAGTGAATCTTAAATTCTGAGGCCAAGTCAGGAGGAGCACAGGAAGACAGAGGATGAGAGAAACATTTCTAATTTATCAAGCTACTCGTCTCATGGCCTCACTTCTTACTTACAGCGCAAGGTCTTGGCTAGGGGTAATGGCGGGAATCCACTGATGCCAGAATTCGGAGGGGAGAGAAAGAAATAGTTTCAGATCTATACCTGCCACCATGACCTTTGATTTGAGTTCAGTTTCAGCAAGTGTTTACTGAGAGCTTACAGAGCACCAGGCAGGTTTACTTTCCTCAAACTCACAACCAACTAGGTATTATTACTTTCTCTACTTTACAGATGAGATGCTGAGATTAAGGGATTTGCCCAAGATCACAGAGATCACAGAGCTGTAAGTGGTTAAAGCTGGAGTTTACAAAGTGTCTTTTGATTCCTAACTCAGTGCTCTTTCTAAGAGAGCACAGAAGATGAACATTCTGGAGAGGAGGCTGAGATGGGAGCAAGCCCGTCTCCCACCCGCCCCAGTTGGAGTTCCCTCCCGTTTGAAAGCAGAGCTCGCTGCAGCAGGAGGCCTGTGATCAGCGTTTCTGTCGTCTCCAAACCAACTGCGAGAAACTGCCTAATTAAAGTCTGCAGCATGCCCAGAAGCCTCTGCAGCTGCCAGTTGTTGCCTGTGCATTCTCAGCGCCCGATGATGAATATTCTTCATGTTTATGTGGCACGATGCTCTCTGCTCCAGGAGCATGAAGTATTAGTGAGCCAATTGCACCATCCACGCAGCTCCAGAGCGACCAGCAGGCATCCCTGTTCTAATTTATGAGGGACCAGCATGTGCAATCAATAGGTGCCCCACAGGTTATTAAAGAAGAGAAGGATGGCCCCGGAGGCCCTGTTTACTAACAGGGAAATGGTCTCCTGGCAGCTTCTGGCACATGGCCTGAGAGAGATTTACATTTGCTTTTCCGTCCAGAAACAGGGGCCTTCCCTTTTCATCTCAGCCCTAAACCTGAGAACAAGGGGCTGGTGGAGGCACAGACAGAAAATGCCCTTCTCTACACTGGAATCCCGGAGGGGGCTCGGGGAACCAGGGGTCTGAGGGTAGGGACCAGCCCAAAGGTTCCATCAGGCCATTTATGTTTTGAGCCCCAGAAAACAATAACATCCCAGGATCTGGGTTGAGACATAGCGGGTGGAAGTAGATGGATGGTGTGCAGTCACGCCAATGAAGCAAAAAGAAATAGGCGATTCCTACCAGGACACCAGAAGGGGAGGTGGTCCTTGATCAGCCCTGCAAGGCTTTGGGGATGTTATTATTCACATCTTTTGCCTTTTCTCTTTGTTTTGGGTCCCTCGATTTCAGGAATCTGCAGTTCTTTTGCAGTTTTCTTAACAGGTTTGGAGAAACAGGGCAGGTTGGGTTTAAAAATAAAACAGTAACAGCATTGGCTTATTTGGGTTACTTGAGTGGAGTGGAAAGAAGAAGCTCCCTCCAGCTCCTGTCTGGAAGGCAGAGCAGTGTAATGTAGCGGCGCTTGCTCAAACTCGCCCGTGTCAGCACCACTTTCCACTCTGAAAATGGATGTAGTTTATGTCTATCAGTAGAAAATCTAAAATGTTTATTAAATAATGTTAAAATAACAATAATAAAGCCATTACATATTAACATCAATAACATAGTGTATTAAAAAAATGTATCTTCCAAAACAAAATTAAATTCGGGAAGAGTGACTTTTTTTAACTTAAAAAAATTTTTTTACGATTTAAAGAAAACGTCTGGATTAATAGAAAGTAAGTGGATTCTCATATCTGCAGTCAACATGTTGCAATATGTTGCTTTGGCTAAAGTATATGAAGCCAATCCAGCTTTACACAGATATGTGGCTAGAAAAACAAAAAGCATTTAATAGTCTTTTAAAGTAATATAGATATTCATTTTGATACTGTACTAAAATATAACCAGCTTCCTTTTTTTAAGATTTTATTTATTTATTTTAGAGAGAGGGGAAGGGAGAAAGAGAGGGAGAGAAACATCAATGTGTGGTTGCTACTCACATGGCCCTCACTGGGGACCTGGCCCACAACCCAGGCATGTGCCCTGACTGGGAACTGAACCAGCGACCCTTTGGTTTGCAGCCCGCACAAATGTAACCAGCTTCTAAAAGGCTAGTTGCAATGTGGAATCTGAAAGCATAGCAGTGAACTTTCTTTCTGTTACATTAAAATCCACTGCCTTATTGTGTACTTTGAATGGATCTTTTACTCATGTATGATTGTGTGATACCATGCATTGGTCACTGGAAAATGTTGGTTTATTAAGTTATGCAGATATCCCAAAACTTCAACACATTCTCTTATTCAATGTTTTAAAAATTACGTTCATTCATGTCACTGTCAATCTCGTCAGAAAAGTCCTTGAGTACTGGCAAGCTCTCAAGCTCCTCAATACTAGATTCAAGTTCTCAAAAATTCTAATTTTCACGTAGAAGCTCAAATTTTATCATTGGCAATAAATACTATCAGTTGTTTTCCTTGAAGTGACAGGCTCCCTTTGTTCATTTTGAGAAAATGTCTGTCAAATAGCCAATCTGAAAAAGCATTCTTTGTCATTTAGTCCTTCAAGCAAAAAAAAAAAAGTTCCATGAAAAAAATGGCTAGTTCCCCACTCACGGCTCTATCACTAACTACTTCCCTGAGAGGTAGCCATCATATTTTGGAATGCAGTAAAGGTACTTTATGCATACTTTCCATTTCATTACACAGAACATTTTGAAAAGTGTCAATATTTGAAAAGATTAATCGTTGTCACTATTTCATCAAAGACAATCAGCTTTTTTTTTTTTACTGCAAATGTGTGGTAACGACAACTAATGCAGCTTGTTGCCCGCCTTGATTCTTGCCTGTGCAGAAGCTGGGAGTTTTACCCACCACTGTTTTTGCTCATTCAGTGCAAATGTCAACACAGTGCAATGTCAACACAGTGAAAAGCAATGGGGGGTGGGCGGTGGGGAAGGGATCATAATAATATTATTAAAATAGTTTAATTTCATGCACACATTGGCAGTGTCACAAGGATCCTCATGAGTCTGTGGACCACACTTGGAGAACAGTAGCTATAGTAAATTCAACAGATGACTAAAACTCAGAGACTGCTGACCCCAGCTTTGCCTCAGGCTAGCTCAGTCTTCTGCAAGTCATTTCACCCAAGTGCCTCGGTTGCCACATTTGTAACATAAGCAGTCTGGATTAAATAATCTCTGTCATCTGACTGTTACTTTAGGAGCACTGTGGGACACTGAGCAATCTTTATCGTTGACGACTTATTATTACTGCCTGCGCTGTTGTCAGGATATATAGACACATATTCTCCTCCCATCCCTGCACAAACAGGAGGGCAGTTGGCTCTCCCGCAGAGTGGGCGCTTCATCATAGAGAATGAGCTGAAAACCCACCTCTACTACGGGGGGAAATGTGGACACCAGAGATCTGCTATTTGAACACAATAACATTTTTCCTGAATGGTTCTGGAAGGAACATTTTTAGTGAATAGAAAGGTGAGTATTCTTTGTCACAAAATCCAAGCCAGGAAATCAGGGCCAAGTCATAATAATAAAACAAGTATGATTTTTTAATGAAAAATAAAGAAGACCAGACAGTGTTGTTTTGTGAAGAAATCTACATTTTTAGGGTGGCAATTTGTATTTGCCTTCAGATGGAAAGAGGCAGGTCCTGGTCCTTCTCCTTCCCCCCCATTCACCTACCAGAGTTTACCTTTCCCCACTGCAGAGCCCACGGAAGCTGGAGCTAAGGGGAAACACACTGATCCTCAGCTGGGGCTGAGGCAAAGGTTTTGTAAGGCACGAGGCAGGATGAGCTGGGGCTGCTTATCCTGAATGAAAAAGGGGTATGTCTGAGAAAGGCTTTGGGGCCCCAAACTGGGAGGTATAAAAAAGAGGAGGGTGAAGGGGAAAAAAAAGTTTACAAATCACCCAAAAGGCAACACAGAGCCATATTTTCCTCTTTATGAATTTTATTTTTAAAAACCTAGCAACAAAGGCACAACTCCTTGTTTTCCCACCTTTGAAAAGCTTTGGAGTAAGTACAGTACTTAAAACCTGTAATAAAAGAGTGGCAGCCCTGGCTGGTGTGGCTCAGTGGGTTGAGCACCAGCCTGCAGATCAAGGGGTTACCCGTTCAATTCCCGGTCAGGCCTGGGTTGTAGGCCAGGTCCCTGGTTGAGGGCATGTAAGAGACAACCAATTGATGTTTTCCTTGCACATTGATGTTTTATTCCTTCTCTTTCTCCCTCCTTTCCCCTCTCTCTAAAAAAATAAATGAAATATTTTTTAAAATGAAAAGTGGCACAAGCCACTCTCAAAGTCCCATATATACTGGTCTGGAGAAGACAGGTGAGTCAGTGCAGCAGAAGTTCTCACCACTGACCTCCACCTAACCAAGTTGCTTGGTTAACAAATGCCATTTCCTCTGGCAACCCACTAGTGCCCACAGCATGGCAGATACTCAGACTAGTAGAGTACTCTCGGTTGCTTCTGTTCCCACACACTGAGCGGAGTGCTCACCAGGGGTCAGTGCTATACACTTCCAAACCCATTTCTGCTTATTGTACTTGCAATTCTGATTATGCAACTTAGATATTGTGAAAGCCAATGAAATGTAAGTGCAAAAAAAAACAGTTCTTGCTCTGGCTAGTGTGACCCAGTGGATTGAGTGCCAGCCTGTGAACCAAAAGGTTGCTGGTTCGATTCCCAGTCAGGGTGCATGCCTGGATTGCAGGCCGGCCAGATCTCCATTTTGGGGGTATGTGAGAGGCAACCAATCAATGTATCTCTTGCACCCAGATGTTTCCCTCTCTTACTCCCTCTCTAAAAACAAATATATAAAATATTTTTTTAAGAAAAGAGTTCTTATTCCTGTAAAAACATATCTTGTATGTTTTGGAGAGGCTTGATAAGGACAAGTCACACAAGAAAAATGCTATTGAATTGGTGTGGAAAAGACATGTGAAAAAGACTGGACAAAAAGTCATAAATATCTTAGGATAATTTTGTAGTCAGAATGCTTTGTGTCTTTAAGTTCCCACCCAACTTTAAAGAAACCTAATCTGGAACTTACAGAAGAGTGCAATAGAATGTAAGCTCCATGGGGGCGGAGACTCAGCACCTAGAACATACCTGGCACATAGTAGGAACACAATAACTATGTGTAGAATAAGTGAATTGTGGGTGTAGTTAATACAAGAACATTAAAGCAGAACTCCAGTTAATAGAAGCCTGCTCCAAAAATACGTCCTGATACTATTCTTTAAAAAATGGTGCCCAAACATACCTGTATAAGCTTTAAGCTCAATTAAGATGTTTAAGGTTAGTTTCTCTTGGTTACCCCTTTAAACAATATGTTAAATTAATGGGCCATCTTCTGTTGAGATGACCTTGGAGGAGAGGGCTTTGCCTGTATTCAGAATCAGGGAAGTGCCTGGGTGATCCAACAGGCACCGTCCTCCCCAAGGTGGAGTGCCAGATCAGAGCAGGAGGGGACCACCCAGAGCAGAAGACTTCTTGCCTCTCCAGAAGGTAGCTAGAAAAGTCTTGTCTGGTTCAGAAAGGAAGAAAGTTGATAGGGTACAGACTGCATCTCTGAGTAGAGATTGGCCCAGTAGACAGGCCAGAATATTCTGGCCCAGTAAACTATAGTGAAGACGTGCGGTGGTAACAAATGTTTCCCCCATCTCTGACTATATTTGAGATTCTTTGAATTTGGACTCAGAGGATCTGGGTTTAAACTTCTCTTGAACTAGTTAGCACACTTGTCTAAGCTAGAACTTCCCAACTGTTAGGCGAGGAATGGGTTACAGGTGTGCTGACCTTAATGCTTGGAGTAGGCAGGCCAGGGCAGCCAGAGTCTCTGGGCTCATCAGCTCTGGTGCCACAAGCCTCATCCCTTTTCCAGAGTGAGATAGATACCAATACACATATAGATAGATATAGCTATAGATATATGTATAATATGTATGTGTACATATATGTATGTATGTACATATACATGAACATTTTTTTCATTTTCCTATATGCATCATGATATGGAAAATATTGGAGGCACTAATAGTTGCAGCCTTAGCTCCTCAGCTAATAAACTCTGTCCTGCCTTTGTCAACAGGTTGCTGTAATCACATGAGATGTAGGTGTGAAACGCTTTGAAAACTGTTGACAGTGACTCAAACAGAAGCCATCATGCTTGATATCAGCCAGTAGCATAGAGTTTGATTCCATTTCTCCAGCCCTAATTTCCTCACCAGATTCCTGAATCAACAGAGAAACAAAAAGAAAAAGAAAAAACAGGCATGCAGAGGTCAAAACATTACCCTGATTTCTGATAAATCTGATATTAGCAAGTGTAACTCGAGGCAAGTGACCTTCCTAATACTCAAGTGCAGTATTAGGCCAATTCACCCAGCCAGTCACAGGCAGCTCAGGAAAACCATATTCTTCCCCTGCAGGGAAAGCTTGTCCCTGGGATGGTGGAACAGAAAACGTACTCCCTGTAGGCAACTTACTTCCAAAAGAAAGAGAATCATTGGAAACTGGCTCCTACACATCAAGTTTCTTTCTCCAAAGTTACCAATCAGGCATGTCACTCCCCCTCCCTGGGAAGGAGGGTCAGACTAACAGAGCTCCTCCCACGTGGAACAGAGGACGTCAGATGCACCCTTCTGAGATCGAAAAGGAGGCTGTGGTCCATTTTGTGTGCTGTCTCCTGACACACACAGCCACGGAGGCACTGGACTTGGCAGGACTGTGAGAGGTCCTGGGGCCCCATCTGTGGCTTCCCGGGTACAAAGAACCAGGAAGTGGGGCATCCATTTTTGTCCAAACAGATCAAACAGGCCTGGTCTGGCCCTAGGGGTGGTTTTCTGGTCCCTGGATGTAGGATGTAAGTGGTGTGGTTCGAAGCCTTATTTGTTGTCGTGATTCCCTGAGCCTCTTGACGGTGACACAGGTAGCAGGCACCCTACTGGGCATTTCTGCAGTATTCTGTCACCACTGGAGGCGTGGCCTGGGACCTGCTCCTCTAGCCCAACCATGAATGTTTAAGTACCTAATTTCCTAAATTAAATCCTTTTCTCCTTACAGTATTCAAGTGGAGCCTATTATCTGAAGTATAACAATAATTGAGGAACACTGTACCTGCATTAGCCTTTCCAGGAAACTCGCCTCCCCATCTCCTTCCCACCTT